TCTTGACCACTTTCGCAACATGGGGTCGAGCATTGTCATGCTGCAAAATCACTTTATCGTGTCTCTCGTTGTATTGCGGCCGTTTGTCTTTCAATGCTCGGCTCAAACGCATTAATTGCGTTCGATACCGATCGCCTGTGATTGTTTCAGTCGGTTTTAACAGTTCATAATACACTACGCCGAGCTGGTCTCACCAAATACAGAGCATGATCTTGGACATCAAAATCACTGTTCTTGAAGCGTTGAAACCACTCACGACACGTTCTTTCATTAATAGTGGCCTCACCATAAGTATTTGAGAGCATTCGATGAGCCTCAGCCGCAGATTTCTTCGTATTGAAGCAAAAAATTAAAACCTCCCGCAAATGACGAGAATTTGGCTCGTAAACTGACATTTTCAATCGAGAATAACTTTACGATGCAGACACAAATCGACTAATGTTTTTATGAGGTTATGTTGACAGATGCCCAAGTTTATCATATGACGTCTATGGTCTATTTATTTCGACCACCACTTACCGCTAAAGCCATCTATAGGAAAACGGCGGAAGCAAAGTTGTACACCTAATAACTAACATAATAAAATTACCTATACGATCAAGCGGATCTTAGTGTCCAATAAATTTTTAAGTGAATTTTACCAGGTGTATAAGCTTAAATCCGCTGTTTTTTAGTCAGAAAAAACACATTTTTTTTTCCTAGGAAGCAAAAACAAATTTATTCAAAGTACTTGCCCTCGCTAACTATACATTTTTCCCATCTTTCGGGCAATTTGTGTATACCACGCCAAAAAAATTCCTCATCTTTCGAGGCAAACCATTTTCATCAAGCCATTTTCGGACGTCTTCGTAAGAATCGAAGTGCTGCTTAGCGAGCGCGTGGCCCATCGATGAAAATAGATGATAGTCAGAAGATGCCAGGTCTGGTGAGTAAGCGGGGTAGTACTTCTCAGTTGAGTGTCTCCAAGTAGTTTTGGACCATTGTTGACGTGTGCGTTGTCGTGGAGGAAAATCAGCTTGTCATGTCTTTTCCGATAATGCGGCTTTTTTTCACGCAGAACACGGTGCAATTTGATCAGTTGTTGGTGATAGCGGTGAGCATTAACAGTTTCACCAGGTTTTAACAGCTCGTAATAGATGACACCCTCCTGATCCCACCAAACGCACAGCATCTTCCGTCCAAAGTGATTTGGTCTTGAGGAAGATGTTGATGGTTGGGCGGGATCAACCCAAGATTTCTTGTGTTTAGAATTCTGAAAATAGATCCATTTTTCATCGCCTGTCACAATCCGATGCAAGAACGACTTTC